TTATTTATTTTAAAAACAGGAAACATTTATCTGTTTGCACAAACAGCTGCTCTCAGCAGACGTACTGAAGTTAGTTTCCTTTCTTGGTTTTTATAAGATAAAAGTGGCTTTCCTGGCCACTTTTCATGCCTGCAACCAGTTCCTTTCAAAACTTAGTTCTTTTGGTGGGAAAGATAAAGCCTTCCGCATCATTCATATTCAAACCTAAAAGGTTACATGAGTCTAGTTTTTAAAAAATAGATAAAGGCTTTCAATGCTGCTACAAAAATTTTAAGGAAGTCTCAAGAATCAGATTAGTAAATGTTTCATCTTTCTTAAAATATATAATACATTTTTAAAAACACGCTTTTTCTCCTCTCTTTATGAGGGCAAAGAAGGAACAGTAGTTTGCTGAGTAATAAGAGTAACTCACTGCCATCGAGTCAGTGCCAACTCAGAGCGACCCTATCGGGTGGGACAGAACTGCCCCAGTGACCTCCTGAGACTATAACTCTTGGGGGGAGTAGAAAGCCCTGCCTTTCTCCCTGTGGAGTGGCTGGTAGTTTCGAACTGCCAACTGCCGACCTTGCAGTTAGCAGCCCAACATGCAACCACTCCACCACCAGAGCTCCCGATAAAGAGGAAAGCGTTCGCTGAAATGCCTGCCTGGCAAGGAGAACTGTATTAAAAGTACTAACGCTACAATGCCAGGTTTTCCCTGTGCTTCCGTTTCAGCAGTGCAGTTTTAATGTTTTCTGCAGTTTTAGAAGCAGTGCTATTTCCCATGCACCCCAAGTTCTCCCACCGTTAGCACTGTGTTTGCCCGTAGCCCCAGTCCTGGCCTCCCTACAGAATCACAGGAAAAGCAATCTTGAATGGGCTTTCCCAGCTGAGTGTGTTTGCAGACTGCTTCCCCTGCTGACTGCCAGCTCATCCTGACGCTCCACACTAGGAGCTGTCTCTCACCATATGGAAAGGAGCCTGGTCACACTGTTGAGTAAACATTGCGCCTCTAACCACAAGGTTGGCAGTTCAAAACCACCAGCCACACCACAGAAGAATGATGAGGCTACTTGCTCCTGTGAAGATTTTACAGCATCAGAAACCCTATACAGCAGCGGTTCTCAACCTGTGGGGCGCAAGCCCTTTGGGGGCCGAATGACCCATTCACAGGGGCTGCCTGGTTCATAACAGTAGCAAAATTGCAGTTATTTCATTATTAATGAAAATAATTTTGGGGGCGGGGGTCACCACAACATGAGGAACTGTGATAAAAGGTCGCGGCATTAGGAAGGTTGAGAACCACTGCTCTACAGGGTCGCTGTGCATTGCCAATGGCTCAATGACAATTGGTTTGGTTCTGTCAGCGTTTACGGTTCCTGACAGTGCTCATGGTTACTTGAGTTGACAACTCAACTGCTAATGCAAACACTATAGGGTCAAGTCCGCCAGTAGGCACCTCATAAGAAAGGCCTGGTGATAGACTTCCCAGACAATCAGTGATTCAAAACCCTATGTAGCACAATTCTACTCTGACACACATGGCGTTTCTATGTTTAAATGTGTTTGTGTCTTTTAACTATTCCTCCAGCCCTTCCAGGGTCTACTGTCTCACTTTGCATTCCGTCTCTCTTAATCTCCATGTGACCCACTGGAGACCCAGTGTAAGGCGTGCTTGTTTTCTACTGGGAAAGCTAGGGTGTAAAGCAGAAAAGAAAACATTCAGGGGTAGAGTCGTGCTTCTCCCACTGGAATGTGCACTTGAATCGCCTGAGGAGCCAGTAAAAATCGTGTCTCTGATCCAGCAGGTCTAGGGACATTTCATCTTATTGTGGATTCACTAAGTTTAAATAATGAATAAATCAAATTATAACTCAAATCAACCAGCAAGAGCAAAGCAAAGTCTGTATCCTAAAATCAGTCTGCCTGGGTCTAAAGTCCAATGCATCACTTACTGGCTGCAAGATCTTGATGAAAATATCTAGTTCCTTAGGCCTTCTTCATTACTTGCAAATGGGAGTATTAATAGTACCTACCCTATTGACTCACAAGGACTGCTATGCCAATAGATATGTGAAATGGCTGTAACAGTGCTGAAAACATTGTAAAAATTCAATAAATGCTACAGAAAATATGCCATCAAGTTGATCCTAATTTAGAGCAGCCCTTTATAGGGTTTTCAGGATATAAATCTTTTTTTTTTAAATAAATAATTTTATTGGGCGCTCTTATAACAATCCATACATCAATTGTGTCAAGCACATTTGTACATATGTTGCCATCATCATTTCCAAAACATTTCCTTTCTACTTGAGCCCTCAGTATCAGCTCTTCTCTTTTCCCTTCCTCCCCTTGATAATTTATAAATTATTTTTATTTTCATATTTTGCACCATCTGCTGTCTCCCTTCATTCACAGCAGATGGCCCCATCTTTCTCCACTGACCCTGTAGTTAAAGCCCAGTGCGTAACCCATGATGCCACTGTTAGCGATTATTATTGCTATCTGTGTCATTGTTAGTTCTCCCGATTAGTGGATTAATCAGTGATTAATCAGTCATTTGATCAGTTCTGATGGGAGGGGCCGATAGAGCTTCTGAGGCTGCGTTATGGGAACAGAAAGACTCATCTTTCACCTATGGGACTGAGTGATGGTTGCAAATGCTGACCTTGGGGTTAGCAGCCCAAAAGATAACCCACCGTGCCAACCAGCGCCTTGGTGGTGCTGTGAGTTAAAGACATTAGGTTGATAACCACCCGGTATGAGATTCAAACCCACTTGGTGGTCAGAGGGGAAAAGATGAGGCTGTCTGCTTCCTTAAAGATTCAGTCTCGGAAACCCACAGGGGCAGTTCCACTCTGCCCTATAGTGAGTGTCACTATGAATCAGAATTGAGTTTGGGGATTAATTTAATAAACTTGATTTGAGCACCAACAAAGTGTAAGGTATATGTGAGACACCACACACTTTGATAGTAAGGTGAATTATATTTCTATACTCACAGAGTTTATTGTCAAGATAAAGCATAAACATAAAGTGTAATGAGTGTTCTTGTAGTGGAACTCGAGGGGGCTTTGACCATCAGAGTTACTGAATTTCCCTTACGGAACCTCCCTAAATCTATTGCCTCAGACTTACCATGGGGCAATCATAGCTCTCTCAGAGCATTGTTATGAGAATTAAATGAGATCATATGCATGCACTTTTTTCAGAATAGAGGCAAATAAGTACAAGCGCACGCACGTGTGTGTGTGTGTGTGTGTGTGTGTGAGAGAGAGAGAGAGAGTGTGTGTGTGTGTGTGTGTGTGTGTGTGCATGGGAATCAGCACACTCCCTTGGGCAGAGGCTGGATTATAAGAAGAGCACAGTGACAATGGG